GTTTCTTTTTTTAATGTATCGACATAAAGGCATGCATTTATTCCATCTGAGTCATATCTACAGTAGGGCTATAGTAGTCGATAGCAATACCAGTGAAATTCCACGATTCTCCATACCCAATTCGATACCACGGTAAAAAAATATACCGTAAAAATGTACTTCAAAATATAATTTTTTTTATCAAAAACATTTAGACATTACAAAACATAACAACAGGGACCCTTTGCTCAAGACACAACTCATTTTTGGGGATTTTGTCAATTCAGTTTTTAAAACAGAAAGTGAGCCATGTGTGGAGGAGTTAATGACGTTGCTTATGAAAACGACTGAAACCAATTGGCGAATGACATCGGCGTCCGCTGGTGTGTTCATTGCTGTTCGCTTTTGCTTTACCTGGTCTGTGCTTGAACAATATCCACCGTATCTGTGCCAAAGAACACGGGGGGCTGCCACAGATCTATAAATAAAGAGAAATGCTGGTTGTAGGTGTACGTGCTGCAGTGTCAGGTCCTGAAGAATTGTTCACATTTTCAGAACTTCGGCTTTGACTTTGTCCCCACGTATCTGTTCTCGTGACATCCCTAATCTACAGTGTGACTCCTCATATTGAAGTCAGGCTCAGGGTAGTCTTGCATAGTCAGACCTATTTCCACACTTTGTTTCAGTGCTGTACCAGCGCTGGAGAAAGGTCTAAGTGAACCCATTATCATTCTGGTATAGGGGAAAAAACACTCTGTTCACAATCGCATTGGGCAGCACTAAGCTGAGGGTGCCCGAGGGGGTTCCTGGCATTAAAATGGCTAAATCCTCACAAAAGACAACACCACACAAAACAGTAAAAGATGTATGTTGACCACCGCCTACTTCTGAGTCAGACTAGGTTTACTCAGGTCTTTGTGAAAAGTATTAACCCACCTGTGGAGAAAGTTTGCAGTCCAATATAATACACTTTTTGGCTGATTTACAATAGAATATTAATTAATAAAGTCATATCATAAGAATATGTTCAAATATTATATTGAGGTATCAAGGTATGTCAAGCTTGTACCAAACTCTATCAGATTTTGCCAAAGTAGAGTTAGTTAAATAAGACAGTTAATGTGAGACACGATAGATGATGGATTCAGTGTTTCTCTCTGGAGTTGCAAATAATACTAGTTAGTCTGGAGGTTGAAGGATTTCAGGGCTAAAACTGAAATGTGATCAGACTCATGACATCAGTAGAAAAATTAATCGGTTACTCGTATGGCGGCTGATAGGGAATGAAAATAGACAAATTTTACACCAATATGACTTTCCAAAGGTACTCAGAAGGCTGCTTTCTTGAACAAATAACTGTATTAAAGAATATTAAGTTAAATATTCTTTAACATGTTAACATGCATAATGTAACACATATTCTAGAAATGAACACTGAGAAAATAAAGGATAAATAAAAATGATGAATAGCTAAACTGAAAAAACTATAAACTTTTTTTGCATTAGAATACGATACCGATATGGTTACAATAGATCTGACTGGAGTTTCAGGTCTGGGTTATGCTGGAAAAGAACTAGTCAGTACAACGAGTTGTCCCACCACGTCAAAACGTTTCTCAAACAGCCACAGTGGACTGGAAGTACAGTCATCAAAGAAAGTTCTGATACACAATAATCACTTAAATACGGGGATAACTGCACATATTTTCAGTCTCCTGCTGGGCATTCATAGCGTTGTCACATGAAAAGTGACATAAATTGCTATGTGAAGTTCAAACCCAGCTTTCTTTCTCAAACCTAACCAAAGTGAGTGAATGTTGGATTGAGGGGTTTTGAAAATGAAAATTCTAACATCACAGTTGTGGGGAGAGGAGGGGGCTGTTCAACCATCCGACAAGCACTTCTGTTGGCGTATACCGGCACTCGACATAACCAGTGTGGTTAATGTTGGCATGGGAGCCAGAGGAAAATGCATCACACCGCTGAATCTATGAACCCGCTGGGCTGTATATACAGTTTTCTTCACATTATCCCTTTTAATACCTCACGGATAGCTACGTTCATGGTACAGTGTCTGTGTGTGTCGGCACCAGGGTGCAGTCAGAGCCATGCCATATGAGAGGATTAGCCATGTACAAAAGACTGAGCAGGGAGAATCCACACTGGATTAGTCTATCTTCCAGACAAAACATGCAAACCACACCTTGTGTCTTTTGTCTGGAAGCAAAAAAGCATTGTGAGGTTTACCTCTGCATCCAGCCCGGGGTGCATAGGTCAGCTGGCAGTGGGTCTGCCTGGAGGAGCCCAGCATGTGCTTTCTTTGCTCATGATCACTCCTTGTCTGCGCGGACAGGGGGCTGAGCAGATCAGGATGTGAGCTTCAGAAGCTGACTGACTTTTAAGGAGGAGCTGCGTGAGTTAGCGTGGTGCCTGCTGTGCTCACATCTGCCCGCGGCACTGCTACACACACACACACAAAGAACAGAGGCAAGTCTCAATCAGTAACACAGATGACCAGGCGGAGGTCAGCAATAGCTCATCAGCCCACTTTATAGTACGTGCAGCACATAGTAACACAGTGGCTGATTTCTTGGCTGAAATCAGTACTGAAAAAAAACCTTTACAAGTCTGAACCTTTTACATTCATAAGGAAAGCAAATTTTAGAAACACCTAAACACAACTGCAATTTTAATTGTAACTTACTTACTAACTAAGTGTGTCATCAAGCTGCAGCAAGTGAAGGTTAAAGACAACAACTGTTGATTTCATCGACTATAATGTCAACTGTCAATGGTAAATGTACTCAGCTGTAGCTAATTACCTGGGATGAGCGAGTATGATATTACCTGTATCTGTATTCATATCTGTACTCCAACTGGAAGTTGTTCATTTAAAGTCCAGGTGAAGTGAAAAATCATTTAACCTTTGTAACCCGATTACATCCTCAGTTATATTGTTCCCCTATTTAACAAGGTATGCCAAGAAATGTACAAAAACTCAATTGATTTGTATTTTTATATCAAAATCCAATCATTTTGTCTTCTTGTTAAACCAAATGTGACACGATTTCAACCATTATTATAATGACAGCCACCCATCAATCATTCTAAAACTCTTAGCAGCACAGAACAAAGGTTATTAGTTAGCTAGCTAGCTAACAGCATGGCGCTCTGGAGTGATTCTGGGGGGCCGGACCTCACTGATGACTGTTGAATCAGGATCTACAGGAGCAGAGCCGTCAGTGCATCGCTGTGACTCTAACATTAATGTTGGTTTAAGCAGCTTAAGCATGCAATGGTTGATCTTGATAATGATTTTAGTGGCTTTGTTCAAAGAGAATTTTCTAATTTTAATAATTTTCCATCTGCTGGATGTTATATATATGTCTTGTCTGATGTTCTGATAAGACCGAATGTCAAAAAATAACTGAATAAATGTAATCATTTATTGTTATAAAGTTATGAGAAGACCATATTAAAATTCCCTTGCCGATATGTGGTATTTATAATGTTGAAGCTACACAATGCTTCATATGGTGTTATTATGCTCTGATTCAGAGTTTCATTGCTTTTTAATTTTTGTGAATTTTCATCGTCCAAAATACGATTTTGTTCAGATAAGCTGGTTTTTATTCTAATGGAAAAAATTACTTTTTGTTCTATCGATTCCAAAAGCCACGACTACACAGCACCAATCCAATGTGCAGTACAGCCAGACAGTATTAGGACAGTAATGTGTTTTTTATTGTTTTGGCCCTGTGCTCCAGCCCACTGGATCTGATATGAAACGGTGACTATTAGCTTGAAGTGTTGACTTTCAGCTTGTCAAGTGTTTGAGAGTGTTCAAATGTGTATTGGGTGAGCAGTGTAGGACTCGTAGCACTTTTAAGCCACGTTAGTGGCGTGGCTCCAGGGATGGCAGTGTTAGTCGGATAAATGTGTTGGGTAAACACAGGTGTCATCAGTGATACTAGTTAAGGTTTCGTTCTAGTCAGGTCAAACTGAATCATTGTGCTGCTTTTGTGTTTGTTGGAGAGTCTCTGCTACACTAATAATCATCATTCGTAACACGTGTTTACCCTATTTCATATTAAAAAGGCAGCTGTGGCAGTCTGTTGTAATAACTGTGGGGATCCTATAGTGCAGTCATCAAAAATGTGTCACATAAACACTTTGGTTCATTATGTTTAGCATGCTAACACGCTAAACTAATATGGTGAACATGGTATAACATTACACTAGCACAATAGCATGTTGTTGTCATTGTGAGTATCTTAGCATGCAAATGTTGGCATTTGTGTCGAAGTACAGTCCCACTGAGAATGGCTGTAGACGCGTAGTAATTGTGTTTATAGTACTTTATGAAGTCTGCAGAAACTAACTCATTAATACAGTGATGAATTCTGGGTTCAGTATCTTGCTTAAGGACACTCAGGAGCCAGGGATCAAACCATCCACCTTCTGATTAGTGGAAGGCCCGTTCTACCTCCCGAGCCTCAGCCGCCCACTTACGCAGGAGGAAAGTGATCTTTTACTTACAGACAAGACAACCAAGGACTTTTCTGAGGCCAAGCAGAATGTTCTCTGCTCTGTTGCCAAAGATCAGACTAAAAACAAAAAGCGCTCAGAGCAAGCAGTGAGGATGGTTGCGGTTCAGGCCAGAGCATCATCGGGGAATTGTCTGCTGATGTGTGTGGGTCGTGACTTTATAGCCAGTTATTGTCTGCAAAGGAATTGCAACTAAAAGTGATGAATTTATGTTGATTAATGGGGCAGTCTGAATGAAAAAGATTGCATCTCATATAGATGTCAACACCCTTAAATGAATCTTCAAAGTCAGCACTTTAACTTCATTCATTATTTCATTTTGAATTAAATGTGCCAGACTGCAGAGACCAAACAACAGCAAAGGTGTCACTGTGCTGATACATTATGATTAGACTACATGTCCTGTTGCCTGTCCTGAACTCATGCTGACCGATCTCTCTCTCTCCTTCTCCTCCTCTCTTTTTTCTTCACAGTGAACTTCGACCACTTCCAGATATTGCGAGCCATTGGGAAAGGGAGCTTTGGAAAGGTAACGTAACCTCCATTTTTCATGCAGTGGGTGTGCGTGTGTGTTCTGTACCTTCAATTACCCTGCGCAGTCATTATCTCCGCTACAGAATCAGACAAGGCCAGGCAGAGCGGGCTGTGAGAGATTACACTGTAGTCCTCATGATATTACAGTGCTTGAAAGATAAATAATTTTTCTATTTCAATAATAGTTATAAATACAGCTTATGTAATAAGCGCTGTATAAAGTCACTTAGAGGAGAGCCAATTTACTTTTCATGTCATGTCAGCCAACCTGTTGAGAGTTTTGACCCCACGTCTCCATTTAATTACAGAGCGGCACAATACCGTGGCTGCATTTGTCATCGCGCTGAATGTTCGGGCCGAGTACAGCAGTGAGGACAACTTGGTTTGTCTGTGTGTGTCTGTGTGTGTGTGTGTGTGTGTGTGTGTGCTGCATATTGTGAAACCAAATTACAGCAGTTCTTTTCAACCTTGTCTCAGGTGCCAATATCATCAACGGTGGCCATTGTTGATAAAACAGACATTCTGGATTAACTTGTGGGCCATTTGTTAGCTGAAGAATCCCTTTGTGTTCGTACTGAATGCCTGTATGAGACTTCAGTAATGAATTCAGGGCGTTCTGGGTGTTTGTGTGTCGACACACAATTGGGCTCCAGAGATTGGAATAGTTTATCTTCATTTTAAATCCCAAATATCACAGCTAATATTTGTTCATTATACTCGTGTCTGTGCACGACTTTGCACATTTTTTCTGCTTTGCTCTTCTCAAAACACAATTTTTTTTCAAAAACATGTCCCTCTGTTAAATGGAAAGTCATTGCCCAATGCTGAATACATTACCATGTGAATTTATGTTAATTTTTTACTTATTGCTTTGTTCCCTCAAGCTGCTGTCACTTCCCTTATGATACTGAAGGGAATCTGCAGTAAGCCGGGAAACACACTGCATGCCGGTCTAGCTTTAGAGACTGAAGCAGGGCGACCCAAATGTTTTGAATAATTATTTACACGCACTCCAGTTTTTTTGGAATAAGAGCCACATGTAAATAAATCTTCATTCGTGTTTTTGGTTTTCTTTCCGGACACTTTCCCTTTCTTCTGCATCAGAGAACCAACTGCTTCATCCAGGAGGCTGGGGGAATAGACCCGGCTCTTGTCTGAGAGTCGGCTTCCAGTTACGCAATATCTTCAGCACAGTCATGTTTGCACAGACTTCTATGAGACACGTGTGTGCACACAGAGACAAAACCACACTCGCACAGTCAATCAGACAGATGCTCACAGAGACATCCAGATAAAGTTTGTCCTTGTTGGAGGTCATCCTGTCTGTGTTTCTTTGGCCCACTGTGATCTCACTCTGTGTTCCCGCTGTTTCTGAATACTTAACAGCATGAGTCTCTAGCATCCCACTGCACACACGGAGGCCTGTGCTGGTCCATGTATGCACAAATAAACCATGGCCTCATTCATTACAAGACAAAACAAACTATAATTTAAAAAAACAATACATAATATTTTAAGATTTGCATTGATTTCTACATTTTGTACCAAAAAATATAGAATCAACTTGCTATTATACTGTTATTTACTTTATATAATGACTCATAATAGTACAGAATGGTGTGTAATCCATTATAAAAAACAAAATGCTACATTAAGACTTGGGGGTGTGTGTGTGTGTGTGT